CTTACTTACTTACTTACTTACTTACTTACTTACTTACTTACTTACTTACTTACTTACTTACTTACTTACTTACTTACTTACTTACTTGTATGTTTAAAATTAGAATACTCAATGGATATTAGCATATACTGCTTTTTGGTGAGGGCAAGCTTTCAGCTGTCAGACAGGTGGTCTCACATTTGACTCTAGTATCAGTTTGGTCCACAGAGGAGTTCCTGGTCGACTGTCAGTCAGTCCATCTGATCAGCAGCACCTGGCTCAAACTTTCACACACAGCTTATGCATTAAAAGTGAAACAATTTTGGCTTGTTTTTTTGTCTAATAACTAATGACACAATGGAATCAGTTTTTTTTTTCACTTGAGATTAAATTTGAATAGTTTTAGAAACTGCTAAAGACCTGCAGAGACTCTGAGTTCAGCTCAGTGGATCAGAGCTACTATAGAAGACTGCTCAAATGAAACTGAAGCACAGGTTTTATGAGTCAAAGGTCAAAATGTGAGTTTGTGGTTTGTTTCTGTTTGAGTTGTGTTTGGCACATTTCAGCTCATCGGCCTCAGCACCAACTGTATCTGTTGTCCTCTGTCCTTGTGTCTCTATCTGTCCTTATCTGTGTTGTCCCACACTGGTTTATAGGACACACATCTGGTGCTTTGGTTCTGTCCCTCTAGTGAGTAAGTACAGAGAAACCCAATGTCGACTCAAATCTCATAAAGCAAGCATGTTAGCGTGTAGCTTTGCAGCTCCGCCCGTCTCAGACCTCACGCGTGTGATTGCTGAATATTCTGTTCTATATTTTCTTTGTTCTTTTCCAACAATCTGTGCAGCGGAGAAGGAGCAGAGCGACTCTCCCGCCGTTCAAAATGGCAGCGAGGAGGAGAAGCAGGTTTCGGAGGAGCTGGAGAAAGGGATGAAGGCTCTTTCTACCAACGACACCTCCTCCACTCCTGCCGCTCTGCCGGCTAAACCCCAAGGCAACACCCCCGAAGGCTCGCCCTCCAAATCCCCGTCCAAGAAGAAGAAGAAGTTCAAGCCGCCGTCCTTCCTGAAGAAAAGCAAGAAGCAGAAGGAGAAAGTGGAGGTCTGAGTCGGAGCAGCTGATGGGCTGAGCCACTCGGATCTATTCAGACTCATGTCACGGTGTATTTTACAGCTTCACTATGATACACTGATTAATGTGTGTGGTGATTCATCTGAAGCAGGTTTAAAGAGCTCTGGTTATTTTCATCAACTATCTGACCCAAACCGACTAACTGGACGAACTACTTGTCATCACTAACAGTTTCTGTATTTGTGTCTTTGTTCCCCACACACACACACACACACACACACACACACACACACACACACACACACTTATTATAGAATATATACAGACCCACACNCACACACACACACACACACACACACACACACACACACACACACACACACACAACAGTTTGTCATTTCACTTCATGTTACTGTACAGCCAATAGGTTTCTTTCAACAAGCAGGATTCTCTGATCCTGCAACACGTTTGTTTTTACCAAGACACGAAGGAGAGTAAAGTCTCAGTTCTTCATGTGTAGACACTTATGTAGATTAATATTTTAGCACGTCACATTTGTTCATCAATATAAGTATGTAGTCAGCTTTGATTATCAGGTAGATGTTGCAGGTATAATCTTTGAGTCTGGGTGCAGTGCGTTTAGAAATATACTGATAGTTACAGACCGTTCTCTGCTGAATGTAAGTTTTATGTCAAACTGTCAGATTATTGAGGCTTTTCCAGCAGAGATGAAGAAAGGAAGCAGGAAGCAACAAAATGAGCCACTATGAACACCGTTAAACTCAAAAGGAAAAGACTACACAATAACTTTGTTAAAACACAACAAGAAATGAAAGTATGAAACATTCCACTTTTCTTTTCTTTTGAAACATGTGCAAAATACCTCTTGACAGTAATTGTTTTAGTTTGAACCAGTAGCTGTTATCAAAATGCTGATGTGTGAATTGTTTTCTGAATGTACATGTGAGTGTTGCAGCGTTGCCATGTATCAGACATTAAAGTTGGGTTTCACTTCAGTTTAGCATTCTGTTCTCGTCTGTTTCTCAAGGCGTCGTTTTTACATCTCACCACTTTTATATTTACAACTCRTGATGTTTTCGGTATTTTTTCAAATCTTGGACAAATTTCAGTGGAATTTAAAATGATTTTTACCGATTCATTCTCGTGAAGATGTTGTCCCGTGGACAGTTTTGCTGGTTTCAGTTCATCGAAACAGTCTCTGCTAACTCCGGATCTCACTTATTTTATGCAGAATGAGGAGAATTGAACTTGCAGTTTTCAATAGTGGAAATTTTCTGATTAAAAAATTTTATTTTGAAATTAAAATTAGAAGTTCTTAATCCTCAGCTTTGAGCCGACATGCACAAAAACCTGAGGACAGAATGTAAACAGGATGTTTTTTTTTCAACACAGTGAGCCTGTTTTCTGTTTCCAGATCCCCACAGGTGGATCTTATTTGACAAAGTCTGGGGCTCCTGTAACTGTGGCTCAACGATCTTATAGTTCTGCAGGTGCAGGTTTAAGCCCCAGTTAAGACATATTTATCCATGGTTTTCTTACATTTCTATTCTTTAGAATTACTTCTCTAAGTTTTTYYCCCMWTTTARCTTTGTTAATMTGGAGCATGATTGSAGAATTATTTCAAASCAAATTAGTAATCTAGACCAGAAAGCTGCGTACTTGTCTGCCTGTTTCGTTTAACACAGTTAAATTAAAATGATGTGTACAAGGACTCCAATTCTCTGATTTAATATTAAGACTGAACTGTTTTCATGAGGCACAACTTCAACCTGCAGGACAGAGGAAAAAGGT